TGATGTTTAAAAAAATCTTCATGTTTTTTTTGTTTTTCTTCTAGAATGTTTCTTTGGAAGCAAAGATACCAGAATGTTATTTTAAGTATTTCTGAATAAACCTTATTATAAATTTATATATATTCATCTGCATCCTCAATTATTTCTACTAACTTATTTGTGATTTCTTTAGAAGATTTTTCAAATATAGAATTTATTGCAAACTGAACAGAGAATAGTATTATTGTATTACTTGAATTATTACTATACTGTATTGAATATGTATCTAAGAGCTGACAACATAGTCATAAAGAACATTTGGATCAATTACTTTCAATTTATATGAATCCTTATAATTTTGATTTTCTTTAATTGAAGATTGTTTTCTCTTGGCAGATTTATATTTAGATAAACTCTTTCAACATTTATTACAGGTTTTTTATCTTGTATCAGTACCATATACTTCAACCTCTATAAATTCACCAAAAGGTTTTTTGCAATAATATTTAGTACAAATTAGAGTTTCTATTATAATTTTTAAAAAAATTTTAGAAATTTAATATTAAATTGATTTTAATTTTAATAGTAATTCAATAATTTAATTTGAAAAAGGATTTAATTTGAAAAATAAATAAAGGTAAAATTGTTTCTTTTTATATATTAACTCATGAAAGTACTAAATACTTTGCTTATTAAGTTTACAATATTTTTTTACTAATTTTAATTTCAGTTGATATAGGATGACAAATACGCATTATTCAAATGTATGTATAAGTTTGCATTAATGCATATTTATATATGTACATAATTTTAACTTTATATTTAAACTTTCTTAATATGATATTCCTTTTAATTATTTAAGCTGTACATATTTAAATTTTCTTAATAAGTAATTTTTAAATATGCATATTGGGTATTATGCATATAAATATGAATTAGCAAATATAAGTATGACTGATCAAATTTCATTAATTTTGGACAAAATTATCTCACTAGAAAGGAATTTTAATGAAATTTTATTTTATTTAAATATAAAGAACAGTTATTAACTTAAGAATTTAAAGTAAACTATTCAAGCTCAAAAATGTTGAATTTTATTCATGTACATTAATTTAGATAAATATAAAAAAATTTTTTTTAAGAATTTAAAATAACTATTCAATTTTATAAATATTATTTAATTTTATTTATCCATGTCATTTTTAGAGGCTAATGCAAAGAACATTTATTAAACTAAGTTATTTCAAGAATATTTACTATTTTTATTTTATATGTATTAATTTTAGAAAATATAAAAACATCTTTTAATTTAAAAATTCAAAAAATAAGCTATTCAAATTCAAAAATATTACTATTACTTATAATGATTTAAGGAATATAAAAAAATATTTATTAATTCAAGATATAAAATTAGTTATTCAAGTTTGAGAATATTTACAATTTTTGTTCAATTGTGTGTATTAATTTTGGGGAGTATAAAAAACATTTATTAATTTAAGAATTTAATATATTATCCAAATTCATTTTATTTATGATAATTTAGATAATATAAAAAATGTTTATTGATTGAAGGACTTAAAAATGAGCTATTCATTCAAGTTCAGGAATATTTACTATTTAATTTCATTTATATGCATTAATTTTGTTAAATATAATAATCATTTTATTTAAGAACTTAAAATAAGCTATTCAACTTTATTTTATTTATTACTTTTAGGAGATAAATATAAGAAATTTATATATTATTTAAATTCATGAATATTATTATTAGTATTTAGAATAAGTTATTTTAGATTTTTTAATTTAGATATTTATTAAAAGATTTAGAAGAGTTGTGAAATATTATTTACAATTTCAATAAATAAATTGGTACATTTAAGTTAATTATTAAAATAATAATCATAGTAATTAAAAAAAATTACTTTTCAGTATATGCAGATTAATTTAAAAATTTAAATGAAGATATTTCGATAAGTATTTGATAGAAATTTTTTTTATTCGATTTCTGCAATTCTGTAGAATTTAAATATATGCTTTTTTTTGAATCTGATTAGGTTTTCATCAAGATATCTTTACTCAAAGTTTGGTATAGCTTAAATTTTTTTGATTTACATGTAGATTAAAAATTTGAGTAAAGATATCTTGACAAGTGCCTAACCAAATTTGATTAAATTTTTTTATTCAAATTCTATAGATATATAGAATTTGAATAAATAAAACTTCATCGAATTTAGTTAGATACTTATCAAGATATCTTTATTCAAAGTTTAAGAATTTTGGTACAGCTTGAATTTTCTTTGATTTATAAACAGATTAAAAATTTGGGTGATATATCTTGATAAATGCCTAACCAAATTTGATGAAAATTTTTTATTAATTCTATTGATCTGTAGAATCTAAATAAAAAAAATTTCATTAAATTTGCTTAGGTACTTGTTGAAATATCTTCATTCAAAGTTTAAAAATTTTAGCGCAACTTAAATTTCTTTGATTTACATATAGATTAAAATTTTGAGTAATGATTTTTTAATAAGACCTAACCAAATTTGATTAAAAATTTTTTATTCAAACTCTATGGATCTATAAAACTCAAATATAAAAATTTTTATCAGATTTTGTTAGGTACTTGTCGAGATATCTTCATTCAAATTTTAAGAATTTTGAATTTCTTTGATACACATGCAGGTTAGTTTAAAATATTTGAGTGAAAATATCTTGATGAGTACCTAACCAAATTTGATGAAATTTTTTTTATTAGAATTCTATGAATCTGTAGAATCCAAATAAAAAAATTTTATTAAATTTGGTTAGATGCTCATAGAGATGTATTTGTTTAAACTTCATTACTAACTAAGTATAATCTGATTGGTTAATAATCTATATTTGTTACAAGATTGCAACTTTTTGATGGTGATATTGGAGTAGTTGTTATACTAGTGTGACTGCTTATATATATAAATTAACTAATTAATAAAGAAATAAAAAATAAACATTTTTTTTTAAAAAAAAATAAAAAAATAATAAAAAAATAAAAAAAATTATAATTTAAGTAAATTAATAAAATAATATTTTAATGATATTAATGATATTTATTGTTATTAAAAATTAAATAATTAAATTTATTTATTTTATTTTATTTTTTTTATTTATTTAAGCAATCTTGTCAGTTATCTTTATTATGATTTTTGTATATATATATATAAAGTTGTATAAGTTTTGGTCTAATATTCTATGAATACTTTTATGAGCTCTATAAGTAATCTATCTGTATTAATTATCCAATTTTATAAGAAATTAGAATATATCAAAGGCTACATTTGACCAATACTTTACAATAGAATATTGCTAATTTAATAATATTTTCTTATAAAAAAATGAATAAAAACAAAAAAAATTTTTTTTTTATAAAAAAAATACAAAAGTATTGAGATAAATAATAAAAGATATAATACAAAAAATAAAAAAAAAAGAAAAGAAATGAAAAAAAAATATGAGTAACTTTTATTATATAAATAATAAATGATTATAATTATAAGTCTATATTAGACTTTTAAAAATTATAAACTATACTAAATAAAATTAATTCTATTATTTTTTTATTTATTTAGAATATTTATCAAAAACTATATAGGATAAAACTAATCTAAATATAAAGAGTTTATTTAGATCACTGGTTAGTCTAAAGACAGTATTTTATAGAATTTTAACAATTTGAAATATAAATATGAGGCATGTTTGTATTATTATATTATTCCTAATCTATATTAATACTAATCCTATTTAGAAAGTAAATTAATAACTGTTTTGATAATTTTATATGTCAATCTTTTGAAGAAGGTAAATTAAATCACACATTTTTATAAAATTTTCTTTAAAAAAAATATGAACAATAACTATTATATGTAATTTTTTAAATAAGTTTTATAATTATATAGTAGTTGTTTCAAGTTTTCAATAATCCAATCTTGAATTTTTTTATAATTATTTTTAGAATTAACCTTATAATTTGAATGTCAAATAGAGAAAAGAGTTCAGCAAAAAGAAAAACTTGACCTCTCTTCAAACAACTACAAGTATATCTGCTTTTTAATATTTTATATCTATTCTAACTTTATTGATAACAACTTTATATAAGACCAGGAATATTTTCTTTCTTGATTTGCTATAATATTTTTCTGTAATTTAATTTGTTGTTGTTAATTAGAGAATTATTGAAAAAAGTTAATTAAATTTATTATTATTATTTAATTTTATATTATATATAATGATTTTTTTCTTAACATTAAAGTTTTTTTATCTTTATATATATAATATTAAATAGTTTATTAGTATTATATTTTTTATATTAAATAGTTTATTAATATTATATTTTTAATATTATTTATTTATTTATATAAATATATTTTTATTAAACATTTTATTAAAATAAATTTATTTTATATATTATAATTTTTAAAAATTTTAAATTATAATTTTGAAGTTTTGGGTTATACGTAGTTTCAGAATTTTAGGTTTCAAAATTTCAGATTAGAATCTTCCAAAACTAGGTTTCATTTTGAGTGCCAACTCTAATTACAACTAATAAAATAACTGGGAAAATAATCAAGATACACCAACCACTAATTTACTTGACAAACATAAATGCAATATGATGCAAACATCAAACAATTATATAATTAAACACAAAGACCTAGGAAACTGCAAGTCACTAGGGCAAAGCAAATAAGTAATATCTTTTTAAGACCCAACAAAAAAGACAGCTTAGATAAATTAACATGCCTTAGGATACCCACGCAAGTTACATTCGAGGCATAACCAGAAATGTGTAACATTTTAATATTCATTATCGGAATCGGATTCGACCAACATCAAACCAGTTTCTTTGTCTTGAGTAATCTTCATCGAATTGTTAATGTTACCTATATATACATATATATGAATTGATATATTAATGTTAGGATTAAATAATTATATATAAAATGTAAATATAAAAATTACCTAGAATCTGTTTATCATCTTGATCAACATTTGATCTTGTAACTTCTGGGAGTGTAAATTTCTGGAGAAACATTGATATTATTTAATTCAGGTAATGTTATGATATTGTTTAATTCAGGTAATATTAACTCATTTCTATAGATTTTTGTAAGTTTATCTTCAAAATAAGCAAACAAATGTTCTGCCTTGGGTCTCTTCGAAACATCACCACTCCAACAACTTTCCATTATTTCCTTGTAGTCATAAGGAATTCCATAAATGGGATCTGGACGAAGCCCATTGCGAATTTTATTAATAAAAGGCAAAATTTGATCATCACGATACATTCCTTGATATGGGGGAACACCAGTTGTTAATTGCCATATAATTATTCCAGTACTATAAATATCAGCTTCTTGAGTATGTCCTCCACCACACAATACCTCAGGGGCTGCATATGGAGGATTAACATAAATTTCACCTGGTTCTTGATCAACAGGACCACAGAAACCGAGATCACTAATATACCAGATATTAGAGTTACGTCCCTGAAGGATATTACCAGGATGTAAGTCACGATGAATCAATTCAGAATCGTGAATTTTCATAAGAGAATACGTAATATCATAAAGAATTTCAATTCTTTGTTTCCAATTAAGAGAGTAATTTTCAAGTAAAAAGTAACCCAAATTTTTTGTCATGGGTTCTAAAACAAGCATAAAGTCTTGAGTTGTTGGTTCTCTCGTCAATCCATAACATTTAACAACAGGATTTGTTCTCATCATGAAGTCGAGGTGTTGTTTGACCTAGGAGGATGAAATATAATTACTGTTACTGCTGTTACTGTGTGATATTATAAACATGACAATAATAAAGTTTTTTTGTATCATATTTTCATATTGCAATATAAATAACATACCTCTTGAAACCATCTTTTATTTGGTTTACTTGAATTTGGTAAAAGTTTAAGAATTACGTCCTTGTCACCAGTTCTTTCAAGTTTTTTTTCAACGGCATTCCATTTATCATATCTGCCACCATGCCAAACAGTGGAATAGACACTTGCGCAACCACCTGTAGCTTTGAGTGTAAGATCGCCAAAGTTCTCAAAAGATATCCACTCGACAATATAATCAGGTCTTATTGTTTTTTTTTGACGTTTTCGAATCAAATCATCAATTTCATAAACGTTGGATGACCAATTTGGATAATTGTTAATTAAATAACCTCGAACACAATGTTCACAAAATTTCTTTGCAAAAGTTGAAATAAGACACGTTTCACACACGCGAGATCCACCAGTCTTGCTGGTAATATTGTTTTCTTCAGCCCAATTATCGATCCAGGTTTTTAAAAAATCTTTCTGTGATTGGCTTATGTTCGCTTTATCAATAGCAGATTTGAAAAATTTTATATAGCTATCTTGATTCTTAAATTCTTTATGAGGGATACGTAAAGCGGTTCTATTGAGTAAAGGATTTGTAACATCATAACGTTCTTTAGGTTTAATAACCATGGATTTAAGAATAAATAGGACTAAAAAGCCAAGTTAAAAAGAATAATCGTTTAAAATCAATAATTCGTTTAACAATCTTTTAAATAACGATAACGTAAATGATAACAATCTATAATAGCTATATTGATATTCATAAGTTATGTGGATGAAAATATTGATCTTGCACAGAACACACACGTGTATATATTTTCTGGAAAAGGTAGAGGGAATGATGTAGTGTTTAATGTATTGTACTAACCGTGTTTAGAATAAATCAAAGGCTTATGTACACGTTGTGCGAAAGGACATCATATAAATGCATACATGCGTACTCATTTTTTGTTTATCCTACAGTGTCAGCAGACAAAGATCCTACAAAGGCTTTCTTCAAATAATCACTTTCAAAAAGAATTGGAGCCTATTAAAAGTAACTTTCGACACGCATTATTTGAACAATTGAAACGATTCGTCAGTTCTACTATATGATATATTTGTGTTTTATGAAAGAAGATATTAAAGCTGAAACAGGGGTAAACAAATAACAAATGAATTACCTAGATTCTATTGTATAATCGATCTGACAAAAATATTTACAAGACTAACCAAAACCGTAACTGGCAATGTACTTAAAAAATATTTTGATACCTGCTACGTAATCGTCACTTGACATTGTTTGTATACTTCGTGATATATAATGTCGTTAGCAAATATGTAATATGTATAGTTCTGATAATAAACGTTTGATAATTGATTAGATGTAAAATTTCATTCGATTTAGGCCTGATTTTATTTTTTGTCGTCTCTATTTGGAACATAAGCCTTGCCAAATTATCTATACGTACCCTTCTCTTAATAACCCTAAAAAAATACACTTCAAAAAATTTAAAAATCGTGAATTTCACGGATAGCGCAGTATAACGAACGCATAAAATTAGTGGTGTCACTCAAACTTGATATTCCCGTAACAAATCCCCAATAGCAATAATATTTTCTGTCACTTGAGTGACATTAACTCCAATGACTAATAGTGACATTAACTCCAATGACTAATAGTGACATTAACTCCAATGACTAATAGTGACATTAACTCCAATGACTAATAATGTCATAATTTTTGAACATTGAATCCCGATCAAAATGTGTCGAAACAATTTTGATTGCACCATTACAAAAGAAGCAGCAAGGGGCAAACCAAATATAACCATTAAAATCAGTTGTGTGCGGTGTTTAATTCAAAATACTATTTTCATAATAAATAAAATCACTAGAACATTCGTATAATGCTGAGTAGCGATCATATTTTTACGTAACTGATTTGGTTGGTTATGCTAATGGAGTTTAGTAGGGGCCTCTGCGGAGTTGGCGCCTATTGAACTTTAAATAATATAAGCATTACTGATTCTGTCCTGGAAAGGCATTAATATAAATTTGTGAAAGTCATGTCCCATTTGCAGTAATCGAATGATAACCTTAAAAATTAAAAGAGTAATTTAATAAAGAGAGAAGTCTGGATTAGATTCAGATAAGTCGATATGTAAATGGAAATGAATGAATGGAATAATAAAATTTCACACAATAAAAAATTACTATCATTAATAAAGGTGGTGCAATATATATGCGCGTGACCGATAATAAATATCTCGAACATTTTTAAAAGATTAATTTTTATAACCTGATGCTAGTGTCTTTTATGATTTATTTAGCTAAACGCCAACTTTTAACATTCTATGTATAGTAACTGATTTTAGCGTGTATGTTATATCCTCACAGCTTATTATTAGTTATTTATGAAAGAAGAAAAATTTATTCGCGTGAAATTTACTTTTAATTTAATAGAAAAGATGGTAAATATATTAAATAATAAAAATAGTCTAGTTTAAACATCTTCATATGAATATTTACTGTATAAAGATTTTATTTACTGTATAAATTTATTTATGTTTGTTTTAATTGTCGAATAATACATGTGTTATTAAAATCTGGATACATTTTTGGTCCAATCGCGTTAATTATTTCAATTATTTCATGTGAAAGTTCATTCCGAACTTTTCGCAAATTTTCAATCGATGATTGTGAAAAGGGTATGAGTGTTAAAATAAGCGGAAAGAGGGATCTATGAATGGATATTAAATAATAAAGAGTCAAAAATAACGCGTAAAAAAATATATAAACAATTATATAACTTGCCTGTACAAGTCTGTTCCAACGTCAAACAATCGAATTGTTGCATAACTATTCATAGATAACATTGTAAGAATGACAATTGGCGAAAATGAGCCAAAGTTCACTATAAATCTCCAATTGTACTTGTAGGCTAAAGAAAATGCTATTAACGTATAAATTCCGTATGAAAGTGGTATGATTTTAAAGGAAACAAGGATTTTCCATGTCGCTATTACATGACGACCTGTAATCACAATACATGATCCTTTAAGGGCCACTGTAACGACAAACTGCAATTAGAAATAGTAAAAATTGATATGTGAAATTTTATAGTAATGAATATGTAAAACCTTCTGCTTTCTTAACACTAACAGTATGCGCTTTCAATATTAGAGGAAAATTTAAGATTAATCTACACAAATATATATATATATATATATATATATTGTTATTTTTTTTACAAAGCAAAAAAAAAAAAATTAATTAAAAATTGACACTGAATTCAAGAAATATCATTTTTTATATTTACCCAGGAAGAGCTAGAATACTACACAAAACCAAAAGAAACGAGCGATACAATAACAATGTTATAGCTCTAAACTTTCCAATAGTAGTTTTCTGGACTTGATAATCTTTTAATCCATAATTTTTTAATAATTGATCATATTCTTTCACTTTTTTGTATGTTTCTTGAACTTTTGAATCATCTTTGAATTTAATGTAACCATTAATCAATCTTCGATCTAAATCGATCACCTCATCAATTTCAAGTTTGCAATGTTCCGGTTTGCATAAACGACGAGCTGCTCTAATAACCTATCAATAAATTTATTAATGCATTATTAGATATTTTAATAAGAATTATAAAGCATACCGACAACGTCTCATAATCTGGTGCAATGACTGCTAGTGATTTTAATCTTTCATAAATGATTTCCATTAATTTATTGCATGCTTCTCTTCTATCCAGACCATTCTTATTATATTTTTCAACTAATTCAGATGAGATTGAAATGGGTGGTCCAAATTTGATAACTGCTCGAGAACGAAATTGATGTGCTTGGAAATAATTCATCCCTATATTATTATAACATCCCGGGCAAACAATTAATAAGTGAGATGTATACTATATATATATAATATTAGTCAATAATTTTTAATACATAATGTAATATCAATATTAACAAACCACAAGGCACAATCTTGATGTCCAATCCTGGATTTGCCGCCATAGCACCTAAAGCCATAAATGCTACCCCCGCTAATAATAACAAACTTCTGTCAAAAAAAAAGTCTCTATAACCTAATAAGCACAATTTAGGAATAAAAACCTTTCAAAGGTATTATTTCAGATCGATCATGACTTCTTCCTTCTGGAAATACTCCGATACATTTTCCAGAATTCATCATCTCAAACACAATTTCATAAAGATTACTTTGGTCAACATATGGCATGCATGTATAAGATGTTCCACCAGGTTGTGATAAAACTTCTAAAGCCTTCGTTTCTTTAAATTCTTTTTTAATAACAAGTTCTGTATCTGATATTATTTCAGTTATTTCAGATAATCCGTACTCTCTTGGTAAAGAAATTTGATATCCGATTTTTAATTGTTTTGTAAATTCTGTATTAATGCCATTTATACGAAGAGGATCGGCTTTACTTTTATTTAAAAAAATTTTTCCTTTTCCTGGTTCTGCCAAATCTTTTGGTCTGTTTAATACGACTAATTTAAAGTGTGTATTACTATTTGCTGCAATTTACCGCGATTAATGGACACAAAAAAAAGGAAAGGAATAAAAAAGAAAAAAATCGTTGTGTAGTTACTTGCATGAATTGCACGGGCCAAAGTTCCGACATAATGACCATATTTAATAGCATTTTGTGCGATCATTAAGGACATTGGTCGTTTGACATATCTCATTAAAAGCAAACCATCAATGAACTATTATAAAAATAATGAATTAAAAGAATATGATATCTAGATGCAATCGTCAAATAATATTACATACCATATTTGCGTGGGGTGCACCGATAATAATAACGGGCCCTTCTTTTGGAATATTATATGAACCTCGTGATTTTATTTCACGAAAAAAAATGTTTAATATAAACCTGAAAAAAAGTAAAACTATATCAAACATTGTAAACCACATCTTTTTACTACGTATGAATGTGAATATAAAAATGTGTAGTAATATTTATTTTTTTAGTGATATAAAAGAAAAAAAAAAAGGTTTACAAATTAAACCCGTTACATGCATATATTGTAATGGAAAAAGGAAACACATGAATGTATCAACCGGTTTAATATGTAACACTATAACTATTGTTTATCGTTACGATATTGATTTTCGAGCATATAGAAAATTCATGTTCTGTATAACTATTTGACTTTTCCTTCATTTTATTTTTATTTTTTATTTTTTATTTTTTTAATTGCCAATTCTTTTTTATCTTAAAAAAGTAAATCGCTTTACCTTTAATCATGGCAGAATTACATTCAGAATCTAGAAAGAATGAAGAAGATAAAGATAAAACTGGTGAAATTTTTGTAAACAAAACTATAGAAGAAGTTTCAAAAGCAAGTGAAGTAGTAAATTTCATAACCATCCCTATAAACAAATTCTTACCTTTATTTGGTGATATTATCACGATCGTAAAAGAAATAATTGATATGTATAATACCGCTGAAACAAATAAAAGAATTTGTGGTGTACTCCTTGATAGAGTTCAAGCTGCGGAAGCCGCAGTAAACAATTTAGAGATTCGTAAAAAAGAACGTCCTGAATTTTTCACTGAACAAAATATTGTTATTTTACGAAAATTGGTAAACGTTATAAGAAAAATTGGTGATTTCATTAAAGAAATACGCGAACTTAAAGGATTATGGAAATATCTTACATGTAAGAACGTTGCTGAAACATTTAAATCGCTTACTGCTGAATTCGATGGTTACATGTCTAGTTTGAGTTTCGCGATTACTATCGAGTTAAAATTACAAGGTGAAAGGGACAGAGCCGCTTTGTCTAAAGACGTACAAGAAACAAATCAGGTTTAATATTTGTTAAATCTTACCCTTTTTTATATTAAATGGCAATTACTAATTTTAGAAATACTGTATATATAATATATTTTTGGTTAGTTCAACAACTCGCGATGAGTATAAATACCAATCAAGGTCAATTAGCGGGTTGTATTGATAATATTGAGGATGGTGTCACTAATATCCTAGAAAATGTATATGAAATGAAAGAAGATGTTAAGAAGATTGTTGTGACGATGTTGAAAGGATTTGAAGATTTTTATGCATTAAAAAAAATGATTGAAGCTCAAACGGAAGGTGCTTTGATAAAAGATGATATTATCGAAAAACCATTAAATCCACATGATTTCTCTAGAATGGAGGAAGAACGTGGTAATACCCGAAAATGGATAAGAGATTCTGATAATTATGAAGTGGCTTTTACTGAAATGCGTTCGCTTCCGGAAAACCTTTATTTTGAAGTCAGTATGTTAAAAAGACTTCAGTAGTCACGTGATATAATACAATTTTTTGAAAATAAACGTTTATCAAAAACATATTTGGTCACAGAATGGTCAAAATATGGCAGTTTAGAAGAATATTATAGAAATGAAAAACTTGAATACTCCTTAAAACTTCAAATTGCATTAGATATCGTACGTGGACTTAATTTTCTTCAAGCATATAAAATTTTACATCATGATGTGCGAAGTGCTAATGTCATGATCGATTCTCATAAACATGCTAAACTTGCTAATTTTGGTATGAGTCGCCACTTTGCCGATGCTTCAAAAAACCTTAAAAATGTTATTGACGATAGTAGATATAAAGCTCCTGAAAAAATAAATTACAGAGATTACAAATATGATTCAAGATGTGAAGTTTTTAGGTAATATTTGCTTTAAAAGTAGATTTATATATGATCATGACTCATGGTTTTTTTTTTTTTAACATTAGTTTTGGAATTCTACTTTGGGAGATCGCCGAAACGAATCTTCCATTTTCAGATATTGAACCGCATCTCATAGAAGATGAAATTTTGAAATCCCACTTCCATTAACATTTAGAAATGATGTACCTGAAAAATGGAAAAGGCTTGTCTTCAAAGGTACATATGTTTATTACTTTTACCTAATACTGTAATAAATGTTAAATCAGATTAAAATGAAATTTTGTATAGTGTAAAATAGACAAGTCACCTTTTTTTTAGGGTTAAGTGTCAGCTTTAGGGTAGAATTTATAATAAAAAATTATAAGTGGGTTTTAGGTGGTTAAATATAGTAATGGGTTTTAGGTGATTGAATATAGAGATGCTTGTTAAATAATTAGTTTCACCGAATTTCACCAATTATGGTGAAACTATTTCACTACTCTAATTTAATTTCACCAGAATCTTTAGTTATATAGGAACACATAATTTCATTTTAATCCGGATTCACGACAATAAATCATCTACTAACAATAAACACATACTAAGAGTAAATTTTCAACATTAAATTTAAATCATTTACAGCAACAGAACATGATCCTCGTAACCATCCAAATTTTGAGAGAATACTTCTTAAACTTAAAAGTTTAACCGAAAAGTCGGATACATCCACAAACAAAAATACATCTCCAACACTTACTTCTTTTATCAGAAGTATTATGCCAATCGAAGAAGCAATTAAACAGCACAAATTAAAAGATGGTAACAGACAAGAGGCCTGGAAGCCATTCGAATTCTATTCTAAATTAGGTGACACGACAGCTAAATATTACAAAGCCTATTATCTTTATAAAAACCTAATGCGTCTTTGTGGCAATGAAGAAGATCGACTTAAACAAGCCACAAATTTGTTTAAAGAAGCAGCCGATGAAGGGGACATGTTGAAAGCACAAATTCAATATGCAAGTTGCTTGTATAAAGGTACAGGAGTAGTGAAAAATTTGAGCTTAGCTCTTAAATATTTTTCTAAAGCTGCTGATAAAGGGGATTCAGAAGCCATTTTTAATGTTGGAAATATGTATTATAAAGGCCTGGGTGTTAACAAAAATGTTAAAAAAGGTATTACTTTGATCAAATCTGCTGCTTTTAAAGGATATAAAACTGCAATCATGTTTTGTAAAGCAAATAAAATTTCTCTGTGAATTACATCTAGTCAAATACAGAGATGGGAAAAAATGCGCATTTATAATAACATACGCATAATATAGCATGATAAAAAATTGAATTTTTTAAGTCAATTTAATTTAGTGATTTACATCACATTTCTCTCTCAAAAGAGGGAGGTAAGGAAAGAAATGAAAAGTACATAATAAAATTTAAATCAACACTTTTTCCTCTGGAAAATATTGGAGATTTACTCGAATTTTTGTCTTGACATTTGTCTTTTATGTTCATTAATTTTCTTTTCAGATTTCTTGAACTCTGGCCTAAATTACAGTCTATGTGCGGCACGATACGCGTGAGTAATACAAACCCCTAAAAAAGTACCTAATATGATTTTGGCTTAATAAGTAATCTTGAACAACAAATACCAAATCATCAGCACTTACTTTCGAATTGATTCATTATTCGCATATGATTTTAAACCTATAAATATAAAATATAAATAAAACATTAGTAAGTAATATATTAATTAAACAAGCTATGCATAATAATTAATTAAATAGGTTATGCTAATAAATATTATTAAAATACTTAATAAGTTCTGTGATCAAGTCAATATTTTAAAATTCACAACTATGTATATTTATTATACTTAACTTATTTACACCTTGTACTCCATCTAACCAGGTTGTTAAAGATCTATCATCAATCTTTTGAATATATATAATATATTAAAAAAATTCATAAAACGTGGCTTAATTAAAATTCTTTAACGCCAATTATTTAATAACTACATTTCTATTACAGAATTCATATATCAATTTTGTACATCCCTATCAATAATGTACCAACCTCAAATAATAAATATCAATAAGTAAATAATTAAAAATTGGTCTGTTCTTGATAGGTGTGTATGCAATTGGTATCCAAAACCTATACCTCATCTTAGTGCTATTATCTGAAAATCACTCGCTTGTTACTAAATAAAAGGTGCATTGTGTTAATTACAATTTGCATCTTTTCTATTTCAATTATTTTTTTTAAAACTAATTTGTTTGTGATTATGTTTTGAGTTAATTCATAAATAAAAAAAAATCAAATAGAACAAAATCTCACTTTCAAATCCTTTAATTTAAAATAATATTAATAATAAGAAACAAATAAATTATGAAAGTTACTTGCAACTTAATCATTAAACAAAGCACCTACTTAAGACTTTGACTTACTTTCAAATGTTAAAAAAAAGATCTAGAAAAAAAGGAAGTTTTGGTAACTTGGAATATTATTAAAACTTCTACTTCTATTTATCAACATATATAGTATTTTATTTATAAGAGACTTGCTTATTACTGCATGATTCAATTTGATTTTTCTGTAATGGTGTTTACTATGAAGATATTTAATTAGTGAAGTAGTATGTAAAACTTTCATGAATACAAATATCAAAATTCAGTAAAAAATTTATTACTTTAATCTGTAGATGTTCCTTAATTTTGATTGGTCAACATCAAAGATCAAAATTTTTAACAAATTTACTTATTAAGTGAAAAATGTTCCTAGCTAATTTTATTATTGAACAGGCCTAAATCTTGAATATTTTCTTTTTGGTGGTGGCTACAGCAAAGCGAGTTTTAGATAATCAAATTGTAAAAACTTTATTATACTAACAAAACATAATAAGTAAAAAAAAGTTTCATTATATATATTGAATTTTAAATTTTAAATTATCATCATCTCATTATTTATTAGATATATTTTAAATACTTAAATATTTTATACATACATGTTAATTTAACACAAATCAGATGTTATTTAAGTAATAAATATTTATAAAATCAATATTTAGCTTGTTTAAATTTTAAAATTCTTTATAGCAGATTCAGAATTTTATATAGAACTAAGATATAAAGATGGATATTATTATATAAATACTTATACTCTAACTCTAATTTAACTACTAATTTAACTACTTATTTAACTACTTATTTAATTACTAATTTAACTACTAATTTAACTACTAATTTAATTACTAATTTAACTACTAATTTAATTACTAATTTAACTATTAATTTAACCACTAATTTAACCACTAATTTAACTACTAATTTAATTACCAATTTAACCACTAATTTAATCACTAATTTAACTAGGAAATTCCAAATCATTTAAATTCTGTTTCTATTTATAGTATATATTTTAAATATATTTTTTGAATATTTAAAATTTCAATGAATTATTAATGATGTCAAAATTTAGCTATGTATTATAAATGGATATTCTTTATAAAAATCAAATTCATCAAATAGCTCATGAATGTTAATATAAAAAAAGCCAGATATCAAATATTGAAAAAAATAAAGCCTGTATCTAAAAAAGAACATGCTAAGATTGGCAATAGAAATAATAATAATAATGATGCTATCCTCTTGGCTGCATCTAATAATGATAGTATTAATAAGAAAAAGTCAAAAAAATAATGATATATCTTTTCAAAAAAATTAAACAAATGTAAATTATTTTTGATATAGTGGTGAAACTTGCTAATATAATTTTGAATTTTTTTTTAACTCATTCTTTATAGTAGAAATTTCCAAACCTAATTTTATTACAAAAATAACTATTTTTAATCAAACTTCACAAGATATTAGTATAAAAAAAATTAATCCAAGATAATTTTGATATAAGAAATCTATCATACAGTATTAGCTAAAAAATTTAGTTAAAACAATCATTTGCAATTATTCTTTTGATAAAAATAAAGGTGATAAAATTCTATATATATTTTTTTAATTACTTTAGTTACTTCAATTTGTTAATAATCAGTTATTCTTTTCTTTGAATATATAAAACTTTGCATGCTCAACACAGCAATCCATTAGGTTTTTCAAAAAACTTTTTAGTAATAACCCATATTTAAAAATGAAAATATTTAATTATATTTTTTTAATTTGTTATTAAGAATTCGAAAAACCTTCCAATACTTTATTTATTTATTTATTTATTTATTTAAGGCTGATATTATCAGTAGCTACTGTCTTTATTTATATTTTTGGTTAATGCATTACATATAACTTGTACAAGGTTAGTGTACAACTAGCCACACATATAACTTTTGGTTACCTATTTAAATAGTCTGCCCAAGAGTTCTACACTAGTTGTCATGCCTGTAATCTACTAGGAGGGTACCTATTTAAACACTCTGATTTTTATACTATACCCAGATGAGTAACATCTGGTTCCTGTACAACTAAGTGCTGTCTAACCCAACATTTAGCTATCCCCTTTTATACATCTGTCAATCCATTAAACATTCCAAAATATGTTATCTGACTGTAAGATTCCAGAGTACTTCCTTGTTAACTATCTACCTACTCTATGGAATATTAACAAGACTAGCCCTTGTAGAGTTTACCCAAACTCCAACATCTACTTCATAGTATATCCCTAGTACTTATAGTATACCTCTGCTTTGACTTCAGACTTCCAATCTAGATAGCCCAATAGAACTGTGATCTGTTCTTGATATATCGAGCCAGCCTGATATCCTTTTCTTCAGTTTAGTTTTAATGGCCTGGTTAGTAGTACTCCTTACCTGAGGTTCTTGCCTATCTGACTTCTTTACAGTGGTATCTGTTTTCTAGATCTAGTTTTTACAGTAGTATCATCGAAGATCTGTGTTACCTCTTTACTCAGGTCTTTCCAAGTGGGCTCTGGTTTCTCAGTTCTATAGATTTACATGTCCACAAGAACTTATCTTAGGTTTGCATTACCTAGTACTGGTTTGCATTCCTCTGTATAACCAAGGTTACTTAGATGCCCCGTGACCTACTAGTTATGCTGGTGCAACTATAGTTATAGGTATCCTATCCCAACTGATTGACAGAATGCTATCACTATAATACGATCTATATATTACATAGATGATTATTCAAATTTTCACCATCAGTGGGTTTTGAACTTACAACCTACCACTTGGAAGGATGACAACTTATTCATTTTACTAAATTGCTACACCCCATCTGCTAATACTAGATTTTTAAATTTGTAAAAGTTTTAGTCAGAGAAAAGCTAATAACTTATTATTATAAATTTGACTATAATAAATAGATGTAATTCCATTAGGACACTTCAAATTAATACTTTGTTTAATATTAAAATAGTTCATATAAGTAGAAGAAGAGTATAAAAAATACACAAATTAAAAAAATACAAAAATTCTATTAATTATAAAAAATATAAAATATAAATAAATAATTTTATTATACTAAATATAAAAGCTAGTCAAGCTACTTTGCATTTATATACATTAAAAGCACAAAAGCATGATAATAAACTCTCTATCAACAATGATACTAAAATGATGAAAATATAAAATCTTTACTAATGATAAAACCTAATAGTACTACTAATATGACAAAAACTTAAACATTACACTAAGAAAGGTATTAATAAATAACAACTTCAATAATAACTTTGACAATAATAATTTAATAACAATGACAAATAATACCTATTATAAAAAATCATACTCAAAAATAAAATTAATAAAAAAAAAAGATAAATACAAAACTAATATATAATAAAAACACTTACCTAGAAAGATACTTAGTCTTAGCTAAATAATTAGTTTACTCATTTTAGCTATCATGTAGCAATATATCCTATAACTAGGTTTATAACAACCTGAAGTTGTATCCTAAGTAGGATATACACAATAGATAACATGAATAATATTGTCCAATAACATGAAATATTATTCAAAACTCTGATTAATAGACACAAATTATCTAAGAAAGTTTCTTCAAGGTTTAGAGTTTAGCATATTATATATTTAGATAAAAGAACTACTAGTAAAAGAGACCATTATTAGCACTCTTCACTGCTCAGCTATCTTGCATTCTAAGTCTCTGAATAATTACCTCAAAGATATTGGACAGGATTATTAGATTGAGGTCTTTAAAGAAAGCTTTTATAAAATAAAAAAAAATTTTAAAAAATGAATATAAAAACTATTGCTCCTTGAAGCTATTTTTCAGAT